AGCGTGGCCGGAAGGTGGGTGGGCCCAAGAGGAGGAGGAGGAGAGGGGCCCCTCCAGAGGCCGTGGCAGCAGCTCAGGGCTGTAGTGGATCGGCTGATCTCGGCTCCCACTTGTTTCCCACGGAGCAGGTCCTCCATGCGAGTTGGAGACCACTAACCATTTCCTGAGAAAACCACTGGAAACCCTGGGTTTCTCTGCAGTGTGCTGTCCGTCTGTCCAAGACCGTGGGCTACGTGAGCGCAGGCACAGTTGAATACCTCTACAGCCAGGATGGCAGCTTCTACTTTTTGGAGCTGAATCCCCGCCTGCAGGTGGAGCATCCCTGCACAGAAATGATTGCTGACGTCAACCTGCCTGCTGCCCAGCTACAGGTGAGGCGTGCGCCCCAGCCCTGGGGTTTCTTCTGTCCCAGGTGGGACCTTGACCTCAGTGCACACACCGCATTGGTGTGCGGTGTTGTGTCCTGGATGCTTCTTTCCATGATGACGCTGTTTGCTTTGCGAGAGCCAAGTCTTGCTTTGCCTGTTGTGTTCACGGCAGCCCTGCGGGGTATAGGTGCTCTGTGCTTAGTCTACCTGAAATCGTTGACTGAGCCTCTTCCTCTGGAGTCTTGAAGCCACCAGGAGGGACTGACCTGTGGGATGGATTTCTTTTTTTTTTTTTTCTCCCATTGAGTTTATGGGTACATTTAAAGCAAACAATACAGTTACATTTGTCATTGGGATCTTGTACCTTTACATGATATGTCTTGGTTCTTATTTTTTCCCCATATCCCTACCTTTCCTTCACCCCCTTCACCCTTCCCTATTTACAAAGGGAATTTTTTCCTTTTTTTCACATTTTTTCTTTTTGGATTTCTCGATTTCAGATTGCCATGGGTGTGCCACTACACAGGCTGAAGGACATCCGGCTCCTGTATGGAGAGTCGCCATGGGGGGTGACACCCATTTTTTTTGAAACCCCTTCAAACCCTCCCCTCGCCCGTGGCCACGTCATTGCAGCCAGAATCACCAGCGAAAATCCAGATGAGGCAAGTGTGGGGCCCTTGCGTTTTCACCATTTTAGACCGCCCGGCCTGGAACAGATGGTGAATGTAGCCATGGAGGAGACATGAGTTGTCCAGGCTTCTCAGTGTGCAGACAGGGAGAGCGTACAGACCAGGGAGTAGAAGGGCTGTGACTCAGTTTACTGGCTTATGGGACACAGAGTGTGTGCCTGGCACCGAGGAAATCATTCAGCATTTCAGTGCTCACCAGACAGTGCTGCCACCCTGGGCATTGTTACCTGTGTGATGGCCAGGAGCTGGGGTCAGCTGCCCTGTGCCTCCTGCCGGGTCCTGCTGAGGCCAGGCAAGCCCACTCACAGTACGCTGGCCATCTTTTGGGCCAACATCCAGGTTTAGAGCCCAGGACTTTGCATTTTGGTCACTCATGCTTTTTGCTATAATATAAATTGAAGCTGGCCCATTGTGGAAAGTCCTTTTGTGACTTATGCTTTTTTATTAGTGTATGTCTATATTTTTTTAAGAGATAGGATAGTTATATTAATTTTGGAGGATTTATATATATTAAATATATGATTTCTTGATCATTTTGTGACTTATTCTTAGGTCTTGAAAAATGAGCCAGCTGATTTCACAGTTTACTTGCTCACTGACCATTGGTTGTCACAGAACTCATTAATATACTGTGACTTATTTATTTATTTTACTTTAATTAAAAATTTAATATATAGGGGATTTAGCTCAGTGGTTCTTCTGCCTACCTTGTAAGCACAAGGTCCTGAGTTCGATCTCTGGTACCAAAAAAGAAAAAAAAATTAATATATATTTAACAAAATTATATGTTCATATAATTTAAATATATATAATACAAATATATGTAAACATAAATTGTACATCCATATCAATGAAGTAACATGTTTTGACTTATGTGAAAATTGAATATGTTTACATCTTTAATTCTTATGGTCAAGAAACTTGGGCTAAAGAGCCCCTCTTTCGATTAAAGAATTCTAAGCGTTGGGACTTATATCTGTTTGGTGATCTTTGCAAACTAAACACAAGCTCTGGGAGACAAGCAAACTGAGATGAGAATTGCTTAGAGAGTAGGAGACTTATCACAGGTTCCTGGAAGGATTTGGGTTTGGAAACAGCCCAAGTGCCTGGAATTTTCCATCTCTCACTGGACCCCAGGCACCTCTGTGAAGCGGATGTGCCTCATTACTTAATTCAGGACCCCTCATCCTAGGGAGGCTGTTCCATGTCCGCTCACCCTCACCGAGATCCCACTTGGAAGGGTCACCTTCCACAAAGGACTCATCTGTGTGTTAGTATATATAGCACACGGCCCGACACAGGTCACGTGAGCTCTTTTCATGTGTAGGAATCTTCACCCAGAGTTGGAAATCTACACCCTCTTCACTTTTCTTTTTGTCAGTACTGGAACTGGAACCTAGACCCTGGTACGTGCTAAGCAAGTGCTGTACTACTGAGCTATGCTCTCAGCCCCTACTTTTATTTTTATTAAAATTTTATTATCTAAAATGTCCAGTGTATAAAACCAGAACATACCTTCACCCAGTTCCCAAATAATCAAAGTTCATCCCTGATCACACCTCCTCCCCTCTTCCCAACTCAGTTGTTGTTCTGCAATTTCTATAAAGTCAGAATTACAGACACTGAAGTGCTCAAATGGATTCACCCTAAATCGCTACAGCCCCACCTGTAGCAAGAGGTAACCATGTTTATTGAGCACTCTATGTCTTTGACTAGTTGGGATTCTTGAGTTTTCTCAGAACTGAATTCTGATGAAAACAGATCTGGAGTGATGATTTCTTCCATTGTGCTTTTTTTTTTTTTTTTCTGTCTATATTCTAGGGGTTTAAGCCAAGCTCTGGGACAGTCCAGGAATTGAATTTCCGCAGCAACAAGAATGTGTGGGGTTACTTCAGTGTGGCTGCCACAGGAGGCTTACACGAGTTCGCCGATTCCCAGTTTGGGCACTGCTTCTCCTGGGGCGAGAACCGGGAGGAGGCCATTTCGTCAGTATCTCCTGCTTGCCTCCCCTGCCTTCCCTCCTCTGTCTCTCTTTCTTCCCCTAGTCCATCCATCTGTCCTTCCTCCTTCTACTTTCCTCCCTTTGTCACTCCTTTTCCCCCTAGTCCTTCCTTCTTTCTTTGCTTCGTTCCTTCCCTCCCTCCCTCCTTTAAAAACCCAAAACCCCTCAATGCATGGCTTTAGGAGACCAAGGCTGTGAATCACAGGCAGGCCCTATTTTAAATTCTCCTCTGCTTCCAGTTCAAGAATAAATTCTCTTTCCAAGGATTTAGCTCAGTGATGCTGCTGCCTGTCTCGCAAGTGCAAGGCCCTGAGTTCGATCCCCAGTACCCCCCCCAAAAAGAATAAATTCTCTTCCTTTACTGGAGACTCAGGAAACACCCAAAGCCATTCGGTCTTGAACTTGTTTGAAGTCTAACTTAAAGGAGATCTAAAGGATGTTCAAAGTAATACCAAGAGTTTTAAAGGTTGTAAGTGTTACAGAGGAGAAAAGGGTGGAAGTGTCTTGAGATCTAACTCTCATAACTAGCTCCCTTCTTGGCTGTATTTACACTGAGACTCAATTTCTGAGGATATGTTCTGCTGTGACCACAGCCCTGAGTCCCCCATTTAGCCAAGTCCATATCATGTTTGTCCCAGTTCCTGCAGAGCTCAGAAACCCACATCAATCAAGGGACCCCATATTCTGAAATGGCGTGTCTTACATTTTTCTGGCCTTGACAAAGGTATGGAAGAGTAAAAGGCCAGCTTACTTTGTAATTAAACATTCTTATGTGGGTGGATAACTACCCTTCAGAGTGACAAAGCCCAAAGGCATTGTGGATATTTCATTTAAAAAGCATTAGAATCCGGCCCAGAGCACCTAGTCACAAATTAATTTGAGTTTGGCAGTTTGAATGACTGGACCTCTTTGCCAGCTTTGAATACTTCATTTTAATCACATTCCATGGTAAATTGAGACCCTTGATGTATACACAATTATTTACAGTAAATGTGGCTTAAAGAAGGAGGTGGGAGGTGGGACAGCTGGCCAGTGCCCTCTACATAAAATGACCTGAGGTTTGTCCCATGTGGGGCATGACTAACCATAACTTTAACAGAATTTGGAGGGAACAATCCCAACTTTTCCTATTCTTGTCAGAGCCCAATAAGGAGCCTTGGATTCCTGGAACTGGTTTCCAAGGACATCAGACACACAGGGGTGCCCCGAGCAAAGGGACAAGTCAGTTCCTCTTGAGTGGCTTTGCTTCTGGTTCCAGCCCCGCACCTGGCTTCCCACAGTCATGACCCATGGTTGACCTCCCCGTGTCATTTCCTCACCCCCAAAATGGGGCCACTGTTGTTCCTTCCTCACGCATAGGTAGTTCACAGGAACACTGTCCCTTGTGGGCTGGCTTCTTACCCCTGGAAGAGGTGTGTTCAATACCTTGCTGTCCTCTCCTGCATTTCCCCCCAAACACTCTTCGAGAAGCCTGCCACTGGGCCCTCTGGCCTTGAGCCAGGTGGCAGTAATCCCCATCTGCAGGTGCACCCTGCCCCTTTTGGGTGGAGCGGCCGTGGGGATGGCCCGAGGTGACTCCAGCTCTGGGGACAGGAGGTTTGAATAGGTCCAGGAGAGAGACAGACCTGGTACCAACCAATGAGCTCACCCTTTCTCTACCAGCCACTAGCTGCTGTTACAGTTCTTCATAATGATAGTCAACTCAAATCACACGCACGGCAGCTAACATTGGTTCATCAGTGACTGTGTGCTCTGCGTGCCTCATTTTAATCTTCAAACACCTGTATGACTTCAGGGATATTTCCCCATTTTCCTGAAGAAGGAACTGAGGCCCAGATTAGTTAGCTCACTTGTCAGGAGGTACTCAGCCAGTGAGTGGCAGAGCTGAGCAGCCCTCTCTGAACTCCTGTGCTCTTCAGGCCTCATCAGAACCTCATCTTGAAAAGTACATGGTATCTCTGTACGAGTTTGGAAAACAGTCGTGTCTTTCCCCTCAAGGAACATGGTGGTGGCTTTGAAGGAACTGTCCATCCGGGGCGACTTCCGGACCACAGTGGAATATCTCATTAACCTCCTGGAGACTGAGAGCTTCCAGAACAACGATATCCACACCGGCTGGTTGGATCATCTCATTGCACAGAACGTGCAGGTGGGAGCTGCTGTGTCTCCCCTCCAGGTGGCCGAGACCCACAGCTCCCTGCAGATACTTAGACTTGGAGTCTTTCCTAGGCGGAGAAGCCAGACATCATGCTCGGGGTGGTGTGCGGGGCCTTGAACGTGGCAGATACGATGTTCAGAACGTGCGTGACGGATTTCTTGCACTCCCTGGAAAGGTGAGGCACGTATTATGTGTTAAGTATTGGTGGTGCCGAGGCAGGCTGTGCTTAGAGTGGCAAATCAGTCACCAGGCAGTTGACAAGCCCTTCCCGCCAGCTTACCTGTGCAGAATACCATGGAAACCCGAGCCACCCTGGAAGAGGGTGAGGGATGCCGGGGAGTGGGATGCTAGAGCCCTGGGCAGCGGTCACTTTGCAGACGGTCCTTGGGAGGCTGGTGCTGCCTTGTGTAAGGGATGTGGTAATGCTCAGGGGGTTCAGAGTTCAAGGGAGGGAAAGGTGGGATGAAAAGCAGAGAAGGTCACAGGCTATCTCTCCCGATAGTCTCTTTCCCAGACCCCTCATCTGAATCTCAAGATGACTAGTGAAAAGGATGAGAATGGAAAGTGACCAGGTGCTCGATTCATGGGTAGGCTGGGGATCTTTGCTTCAACTCCGGTGACACTTTGTGTTGGGCCATCGTGGGGGGCTGCCCTGTGCATGGAAGGGTGATGGAATCCACAGCTTCTGCTCTCTAGAGCCAAGGCGCACCCCTTCCCTGCATCGAGACAACTGTTTCCACTGTCCCTGGAGTAGGGACAAAGTTGCCTCTGATTGAGAACCACTGTGACAGGCAAGTGAAACTAAAAAAAAGAGCATGAAGGACAATTTCGGTGCTTGGGCTATTGTGCTTTGGTGTGGTAATAAAGTCCCTATCCCTGAACTGGTTTCTTTCATGACAGGAGGCAGATCCGCACAGAGGGGATTTTTGCCAGATGAAGCCATTATGGATTTTGCTCCTACAAAGCTTTTTTATTTGCTCATTTATTTTGCGGTATGGGTATTGAACCCAGGAGTTTCACACTGAGTTGCATCTCCAGCCCTTTCTTATTTTGAGACAGGTTCTCACTAAGTCACTGAGTTGCCTAGGTTGGGCTCAAACTTGCCATCCTCCTGCGTCAGCCCCCAGTGTGTTGGGATTACAGGCATACGCCACCATGCTCACCCTGAAAAACATTTTCAAAACCTCACGTCCATCAGCAACTCCTTACCTTCTGAGGACTTCTGGGTTCCTTGGCATGATCTATGTCCCCTGCTTCTTAATCACACTTAGCTTTTAGGCACAATCCGTGTGCTGGTGCTTGGGAAGAACAAAGCACTGGTTTTTTTCTTTATAGAGCCATGGATAAAATCCAGGGTTTTGTGCATGCTTAGCGTGTACTTTACCAGTGAGCTGCACCCCAGCTCCTAGGCAACACTTTTGAATCCAGGGCATGGCTATAGCATTCTCAGTCCCTTCCTAGACTGACAGCAGCTCTGTCTTCTCTCTCAGGGGCCAGGTCCTCCCGGCGGATTCTCTCCTGAACCTTGTGGACGTGGAGTTGATTTACGGAGGTGTCAAGTACATTCTCAAGGTAAAGGCCCTAGGGCTTCTCCCACATTCCCAGTGCTCCAGAGGCTGTGGGAAGTTTGTTGTGCTTCTTCCATGAACCATCCCTACAGAGGACTTTCTCGTGCCTGCACCTGAGCAGTTGTGTTCCCTGAGGATCCCTGCGAAGCTCCTGACCTTGGGTTTGGAAATATAGGGCTGAGCGAGGGGCAGAGATCACGATGTAGCATCGATTAGTCTTCCTTGGCTGCTGTGACAAAGTGCTGTGACCTGGAGGCTTAACACAACAGAAGTTGTGTTTTTCACTCTCCTGGAGGCCAGAAGTCAGCCAGCACGGGCTCTCCAAAGGCACAAGGGAAGAGTCTTTTGCAGGCCCAGTGCTAGCTGGCATCCTCCGTGTTTCATAGTTTGTTGATACTCCAGTCTCTGCCTCCACCTTCACAGCCTTCTTCCCTCTGTGTGTGTGTGTGTCTGTGTGTGTTCCCATCCATCCTCACGCCGTCTTCCTCCCATGTGTGTACCTCTGTGTCACTTCTCATTTTATAAGAACACCTCTCACATTGAATTTAGCCCTTCCATCCAAGAGGACCTCACCTTAACTAATTACCGAATAAGGTCACACTCCAAAGTTCCAAAAACATCATGAGTTCTGGGCAACGTTCTTCCACCCTGCACAGAGTATGGACAGAGCCTTTGCCGAGCTGGCACAGTGGGCCGGGTTTGTTCACAGGGGCTGCACGGCCACTCCGAGAACCCGCAAGAGGACTTCTGGTCCTTTCTTGGGCCACCTGAAGTCAACTCAGGGCAGAGATTACGTGAGATGTGCGGGCCTGGTGTGGGGCCTGGGGGCCATGGGAGGGTTGTGAGCTGTGGCATTGGTGTTTGGGGCATTGGTGTTTGCAGCTGCAGGAGCTAATTGTCCGCTGAAAGTCAAGGCCTGTTTTTGGCACTTTGCAGGCTCCTGTTCTTGGCCAGAAAAAGAGGACAGAGTTCAAGTCTGCTGTGCAGATTTTTTCTTTTGCTTTATTTTTAATATTGCTGGGCACACGTTGAATTTTCAACTTTTAGTTTAACCAAACAAATGTGCTGTCATGGGATACACTCTTGGTCTTCTTCTTTGTCCCCAGTGCTTCTTGGTTACCTTTGTATGGAGGGCCCCACAGCCTTTATTTTAAAGGAGTCAGCTTTCTTGTCCCTGAGAGATACCTGGTTCCCACAGCCTGCGGAGGAGAGTTTTGTCTGCCCCACGGTTTCCAGTGGGTTCAGTGTGTGGTGAGCTTGTTTCACAGCAGAGGCAGCATGGGGGAAGACTGTGGTGGAGGAAATCCTTCTCCCCGACTCAGAAGGAGCCACCCTTCCAGGTCACACCCCGAAGGACCCAGCCTCTCCACCAAGCCCCACATCCAGACAGGAGGTGGCACAATAACAACGTGGCACAGTCTTACTGTAGAAAGCTTAAAAAAAAAATTCCAAACAGGCATGTGAGACTCACAGTACCAAATTTACTCGCCACTGACTTGGAAGCCATCCCCGCAAACATGACAGCAGATTTCTTTCAGTTACTTTTTTCCCCTTAGGCACTGATTTTACAAGGCTGAGATCATGATGCACCTAGTGTTACTGCGTCACTATTTCTTGGTGTAAAGTTCTCCCACGTGGTGAGCACATTTTATTTCATTTTAATTTTTGCAGTGCTGGGAATGGAACTTGCATTTGCCAGTCAAGTGCTGAATCCCTGAGCTACATCCCCGGCCCATGTAGAAACTTATTTTGAGGCAGGTTATGGAAGTCATTGAGCCACCCAGGCTGGTTTTGATCTTCCTGCTTCAGTCTCCTGAGAAGATGGGATTATAGGTGTGCTCCACCGTGCCTGACAATGAATAAGATTTGTGTAACATCATTTTGGTGTCTGTAGCACTGTCCATTGGGACTTTTGGGAGTGATGGAAACTTTCTCTACACTGTTCACTTGGTTGCCCACACGTGGATGCCGAGCCCTTGAAATGTGACAAGTATAACAAAGGTGCTGGAATTTACATTTTATTTAATTTGAATGTAAATGGCCACATGTACATAGGACTTAACCGAATTGGACGGTGCAGGTCTGGAGTAACCTATCATGAAGTTGTTGGATAGTCATTCTAATTGCAATTTTTATTGTCATTACAAATAATGTTGCAATGCAAACGCCCATATCTTTTGCTGTCTTTTGTCACGAAATGGATATTTTGGCTGAGGCCCTAAAAGATTTCCTGTTTTCTGAGTGAGAACATATGTGCTGAACTGAGGTGCAGCTGGTGTTCCAGCTGGATCAAAGCACAGTGTGGGCCAGGGCCTCGCTGCATAGGTTCTTCTCAAGTGTCCTGAGTCTCCTGTGTGCCCCTGGGCAGAGCTGGATCTGGGAGCAGAGCCATAGTCCATGCTCGCGTCTTCTTAGCCTATTCGGACTGCTATAATAATGTAACATAGCCTGGTGGCTTATAAACAACAAAAATGTCCCGCTCACAGCTCTGGAGGCTGAAAAATCCAAGATGAAGGCACCAGTCATTTCAGTGTCTGGTGAGAACCCATGTTTTAGTCACCTTCCTCATCACTGGGATGTAACACCCATAGCTTAAAGAGAGAGAGAGAGGTTTATTTTGGCTCAGTTTTAGTCCATAGTTGGCTGGCTCCAAGACGGGAAGGCATGGTGAGGGGTCTGGTGGAAGAAAGCTTGCTCACATCATGGCAGCTAGGAAGCAGAAAGAGAAGGGTGGCACCCCCAGAGACCCACATCTAGCCAGGCCCTACTCCTAACAGCAAGTCAGCTGGAGCAGCCCCATAATCCAACCACCTTCCAGAAGTCCCACCTCCGAACTCCCGAGGCTTTGGGGGAACATTCTAGGTCCAAAATGTAACAGCTTACTTCCTGGTTCATAGCTGTGCTGTCTCTGTCTGTGTGCTACATGGCAGAATGAGGCAAGGAAGCTCTCCAGGGCCCCTTTCTGAGGACACTAATTCCATTTGTGGGGGCCCTAGCCCCTGAGTTCATCACCACCAAAGTCCTCACCTCCTACCACCATCATTCTCAAGGTTTGGTTTCAACACAGGGCATGGGGACACATAAGTAGTCCACCAAACAAACGACTGGAGGAGGCTTCAGGGCACCTTCACACAGTCCCTAGAGCCCAGTTCCTGACACCTTTGGTCCTGCTTAGAGCTGATACTTGGAAACAAGAATGGAAAGGAAGCCCAACTCCAGAGGACACAGGCTGTGAAGCACGACTGGACAGGGCCTGTGTCTGCAGCCAGCAGTCATTTGTCCACCCCACAGGGCAGGTGTGGCTCAGACGCCAAATTGTTTCTAGTTCACTCTGTGGCCATTGCCTTGGGGTGCATGAGGGCTGAGGCTACAGAGATGGAGGCATCCAGTCCACCATTCCCACAGTGGAGTCAGCCCTTGTCTGCTGTCATAGCCAGGGGAGCACACCCTGAATCCAGCTGATGACCTGCACCTGTCCCCGCAGGTGGCCCGGCAGTCTCTGACCATGTTCATCCTCATCATGAACGGCAGCTACATTGAGATTGATGCCCACCAACTGAACGATGGCGGCTTGCTGCTGTCCTACAATGGCTGCAGCTACACCACGTACATGAAGGAAGAGGTGGACAGGTGTGTGGGCAGTGGGCACAGCTCTCTCGGTGCGGGGAGGGGTTCGAGGATGCAAAGCTAGCTGAGTTCCGGCCTCAGAATCTTAGATAAGACCCTCTCTAGTAAATTCTGGGCTCAGTAGGAGGGGTTCCCTGCCTGGCTGGGATTCCACGCCCCTGTCAGACATGGAGGAAGGGCCCCAGGGTCACTTCGGAGGATTCAGTTTTAAATGGGTCATGGCTCCTAGCACCATGGCCTGCAGAGTGCGTGGTGAGGTGCATGGCGAGGTGCCTGCTGCCCCCTCTGTGTGGTTGCAGCATCCACACCGTGGAGCACGCTCATGGCTTACACACATCATCCAGCAGCTGGTTATTGAGCTACTCCAGGCAAGTGAGGAGCCAGGGCCAGGATAGTGCCCTGGCTGCAGCTCCTAGAGCTTTGAGCCTTTCTGAAGGTGATGCATTAAATAAGTGGAGGGTGGCAGAGAAAGCTGCTGGGTGGAGCCAGGTGGTCTGGAAGCTCTAGACACGGTGGGGGTCAAACATCTGGGTCCATACACCTTCCAGCTCCTGTGTGTCCAACCACACTGGCCTGTAGGTGACCCGGGCAGAACAGAAAACACAAACCCTGGCCAAGGAAAAGCAAGGGTGAGATTGTGAGAGAGAGAGAGAGAGAGAGTGTGTGTGTGTGTGTACATGTGTATGTGTTTGTGCATAGATGCCAGGGGTCCCACCCCTGAAAGGCACCAGGTGGAGACACCATCTGCAGTCCTCAATGTTTTGGAAGAAGGCAAATTTGATTCATTTATTATCTCTTTTCTAACTTATGTTCTGCCTTCTGATAACACTCAAGATTACCGTAGAGCTGGGCATGGTGGCCTACACCTGTAATCTCAGCACCCTGGGAGGCTGAGGCAGGAGGATTATAAATTCAAGTCCTACCAGGGCAATTTAGTAAGAATCTATCACAAAACATAAAAAGTACAAAAAAGATCTGAGGATGTAGCTTGTGGGTAGAGCGCTACTAGGTTCAGTTCCCCATTACCAAAAATAACAATAATAATATTTAGGGGCTGGGGATTTAGCTCAGTGGTTCCACCACCTGCCTCATAAGCACAAGGTCCCAAGTTCCATCCCCAGTATGCACCCCCCAAGAAAACACAACAAAAACAAAAAAACAATAATAATATTTACTGATTGCTTTTTTATATGTCAGGGTCTCTTGAGATTGCATCAGTAAAAGGGAACTGGATTTTACCTTAGAAAAGAGCCACATATTTCGATCAGTGAACTCATTTTCAGCGTGTCCATTATAACTGTCAAATGCCACCATTTGTAGAGTCCCTAATCCTATGCTGAGGGTGATACGCATGCTGCCTTTAGGAAAGGAAAAGGCTGTCAGAGGCCTGGCTCAGCGTGGCTTGATGGCTCTCATCTGTCTTTCTGCCCTGCTCCTCCTCCCAGTTACCGAATCACCATTGGCAACAAGACGTGCGTGTTTGAGAAGGAGAATGATCTCACGGTCCTGAGGTCCCCATCAGCAGGGAAGCTGATACAGTTCACGGTGGAGGATGGGGGCCATGTTGAAGCAGGAAACAGCTATGCCGAGATTGAGGTGACTGCATGGTGTCCCTAGGGTGTGGGTCTGCAGCCTTCAACCTCTGCTCCCCAGGCATCACCCATCCCTCTGCAGAGGCCCCAGCTCTCAACCTGGCCACTGTCTACAGGTTCCTGAGAGGCTGTCCGTGGGGTGCAGCCCCAGTTCCCTGCGATAGTCAAAGAGAAAACCTCAGACAGCGCAGGAATAATGAAGAACTGATTAGTAATCATAAGGGCTGTGCTGAAACACTTAAGCCGCCGGACTCAGTACATGCCTGTATTCTCTGCTACTCTGGAGGCTGAGGCAGGTGGATCACAAGTTCAAGGCCCCTGGTAACTTAGCAAGATCCTGTCTAAAAAAACAAAAAAAAAAGTGCAGGGGGTATAGCTCAATATGTCCCAGATTTAATCCCTAATGTTTAAAACCAAAACTATTATGCCAACACTTGCGAAGCACTTAGTATATGACAGGTGCTGGTCTAAGCATTTATCTAACAGTCATATGAAATGGGCACAGACACGATCCGCATTTTCTGTACAAGTGAATCGGGCCCAGGAAAGCTAAGGAACTTGTTCAGCATTGCACAGAGCCCAGACGCACACTGGCCTCCCTTCTGTGTGCCAAGGCAGGTGATGAGAGCAGTAGAAATAAGGCAGTGACAGACTGGAACTTGTACTCACCTGCTGCCCTTGGGCAATTATTTCTTTGTCATGCGAATGCCATGGAGTGTCCTCACCCAACCCTGGATGTGTAGGTCTGTCTCTCCACCTGGCCTCTGAACATGAAACCCAGGAGGCTGCCACCGGTGTCACACAGCAGGATGTTTTACAGTGACTCTAATAAGTGGAAGGAGTATACTGTAAAATAGTGATCAAAAGTATAGTACAATAAATACCTAAGCCAGCCTCTTAGTCATTCAATCATTCATTCTCATATTTGTGCCCTACTTTTACACGGCTGGTAGTGCAATAGGTTTGTTCACACTAGCGTCGCTGCCAAGATGTGAGTGATACTTTGCACTCTGATATTAAGGCAGCTACAATGTCACTAGGTGATAGGAATTATTCAGTTCCCTTCTACTCTTACGGTATGACCATCATGCATGTGGCCCACCGAGGACCATCATTACGCTGTGTATGATGTACCATAACCACTCTGTGCGATATGATTTCATTATATTTCTAAAAAGAGGCCTTCCTTTGGAACTAAAGGGGAGTAGGGATTTAGCTCAATGGCAAAGCATGAGCCTAGCGCACACAGGGCGCTGAGTTCCATCCCTGGCTCTGAAAACAAATCAGTTTGCATTTCTGTGAGATGGGCATAATCAGCTCTGCCTCCCTGGATGGGTTTGCAGACGGGGATCATTTGTGAACTGTGCCTGGTATATGACAGGCTTGCGGGAGGCAAGGTTTTCTCTGTGCTTCCTGCTAGAGCACCGTCCAGGGAGTCGCTCTATTGCCATGACACAGCCACTGCTCCAGAGTCACTAGTTTTGGTGACTGTGGGTGCCCCACATACAGGCCAGTCCCGCGGGGCTCTGTCCTACTTTTTTTTTTGCAAAGCAGGTGATGAAGATGATCATGACCCTGGTCGTGCCGGAGAGTGGCCTAGTGAAGTACATCAAGCGTCGGGGAGCCGTGCTGGAAGCTGGCTGCGTGGTGGCCAGGCTGGAGCTCGATGACCCTTCTAAAGTGCACCCGGTATGTGGCACCCCGTCCCAGCAGCTCTGGCTGCTGCAGGCGAGTCCCTGCCCTACCCCTGTGCAGAGATCAGCAGGCCAGAGGCTCCCGTGCTCCCCTGCCCTCCTCTGAGACACGTTAAGCTCAGCAGCCAGTCTGGTGGTGCAGAAACAGAAAACAGCCGTGCCCTGTGTTGTTCAAGTCCCTCTTTGTGGCTTTCCATCCTGCTTAGAGTAAGACCTGTGTTCTTCCCATGACCTGTGGGACCCCAGCTGAGCCATCCCTGATGTCCCTCCTGACTTCATTTTCTGTTTGTTACTGGAGCACAGGAGATTGAACCCAGGGCTTTCACACTGAGCTACATCCTTAGTCCTTTTATCCTTTTTATTTTTGAGACAGGGTCTCCCCCTAAGTCACTTAATACATGATGTCTTGGTTCTTGTTTTTTCCCCATATCCCCGCCCTCCCTTCAACTCCTTCACCCTTCCCTATTTACACAGATTTTGTTTCCATTTTAGCTCAGCGGTTTCGCCACCTGCCTTGCAAGCACAAAGACCCGAGTTCGATCCCCAGTACCAAAAAAAAAAAAAGAAAGAAAGATGAGGGAGTTTTCCTTTCTTTTTTTTTAATTTTGTCTAAGTTGCTCAGAGGCTGGGCTCGAACTTATGATACTCCTGCCTCAGCCTCCCCAAATGCTGGGGTTACAGCCGTGTGCCACCCACCGTACTCAGCTTTGGCTTCCTCCTTTATCCTGATCCCTCTAGCTAATTGAATGGCCCAATTCTTGCACCTGGGGCCTTTTTCCTCTGCCTAGCAGGACCTGTACCTAGGCATCCCTGGAGCTTACCTCACACCCACACCCCCAAACTTTAACTCCAGTGGCTCTGGGGATTGAACTCAGGACCTTGCTCTTTCAAGATAGGCATAGTGCCACTGAGCCAAATCCCCGGCCCACCACCTTTTATCAATAGTTGTTTTTAGTTCAGTTTAGATATACAGTAGAATTACATAAATAGTACAGAAGGTTCCCATATACCCTACACTGAACTATCCTATTAACAATTTGTGATTAACTTATTCCTAAAATCAGTTGTTATTACTTAACTACCATTAAGCTAACTATTATTGTGATTGTATAGATTCATTTTTTTTGTTTTGTTTTGCAGTACTGGAGATTGAACCCAGGGCCTTCGCACTGAGCTATATCCTCAGCCTTTTTCTTACTTTTTAATTTTGAGACAAGACCTCACTAAGTTGGCTGAGTTTAAATTTGTAATCCTCTTGCCTCAGTCTCCCAGTGTGCTGGGTTTATAGGAATGTGCCACCGTCGCCTGGCCCTGACTAACTAAAGTCCATGTTTTACTCAGACTTCCTTGGATTTCCTTTTAATAATTGGTGTTTTAGTATCCATAACATACAACTGTCCTTCGTAGCAATTTTTCAGTGTGCCTCTCAGTGTGTTAAGTCTGCCGTGCTGTTGGACCACCATCACCACCATCTGTCTCCAGAAAGCAGAACTTTCCTTCTTGTAAAACTGGAACCCCCATGCCCATTAAACATCAGCTCCCCCTACCCTACCTTTCCAGCCCTTGGCAACTGCCTTGTACCATTGTCCCTAGGAATTTGCCTGCTCTAGGTACTTTCTCAAAGGGGAAGCAAACAGCATTTGTCCCTTTGTATAACTTAGCATAATTCCTCAGGGTCCATCTGTGTTGTTCTGTGGGTCAGATATTCCGGCATTTTTGGACTGAACAATATTCCACTGAATATTCCACTTGCTAAATGTATATGCTACATTTTATTCATCCAGGGATTGGAAAGCCTGGATCAGCATATGGATTTTGCAGTTTGAACTTCCCAGTGTGAATTTTTTTTCTGTTATTTCCCAGGCTTTGTTCTTCCTCCACTGTGCAAGCTGATCGATCCGCCACATTCCCCAGCTTGTCTCATCGCCTGCACGGTGGCGTGGTTTCCGTGACCTGTGCTTGTTGTGTCTCATCAGGCCGAGCCCTTCACGGGGGTGCTGCCTGCCCAGCAGACCCTGCCCATCCTTGGAGAGAAGCTGCACCAGGTCTTCCACAGTGTCCTGGACAACCTGACCAACGTCATGAGTGGCTACTGCCTGCCGGAGCCTTTTTTTAGCATAAAGGTGAGTCACGTGCAAAGAGCAGATGTAGGTGGGTCTGTGTGCAGCCAGAGGGTTTTACGCCATGATGCCACAGATGAGAAACTGGTGAGTCCTGCCATGTCTGTGAAGGACCTGTCCTCAGGGCATTCCTCCATCTGACTATAAAGTTGGGCATGTGTTTTCTCGTTGGTGATCGACTGTTCTGAGTGACCGGGTTGTGGTGATTCAGTCCAGCCTGCGTGTGTTTAAGTAGGAAGTTAGGGAGGGAGTGTGGAACACCTTTTACTGACACCACAAGCAAAGCGCTTTGTCCAGAGACAGCTGCCTTTGTCATTCACCATCCCAGGTCCTACCGTCTCCTCCCTCCGCAGAGAAACAAGGAGTTTTGCACTTGGCAGGCCTCCGTGAAAAGACCCTTGTGCTAAACTTGCTACGACTGAGGGTCACCCCGAGTGCTGCACCCCATTCCTCCCCACTGTGGCAAGACACGGTGATGCTGGCGATGGTGACGGTGGTAAGGGTAACCACAGCCAGCCCTTGTCTGGGACGTCCTGTGTACCACCTGCTATTCAGTACTGGGAACTTAGCTGGGCACTTGACTTCCCAGCAGCCTATGCACTGGGAAGTGTTATTCCCATTTTGGATTGAGGCAATAGAGGCACAGAGAGACTAAGAAACTTGCCCTGTTTCATTTCAGACATGAAGAGGCAAACATAGGATTTGGACCCTGGCCATCTGGCTTCAGAATCTGTGTTCTTAGCCCCTGTGTGATGCTGCCTAAGGGTAGCTGCTATAGATACAGCATTCATTTAGTCTTTGTACTTGCCGTCATATGCATTGGTTCACTTTTAAACCTCTCTTTGGTTTGGGAATGGCACTATTTATCATCCATATCTAAAAACCTTCGCAGCAGCTACCCAGACATCCTGGAGGCCATGTAGGGTGGCTGCTGGTGGCTCAGGAGCCCATGGCTTGGGTTTGCTTCTTAGTAGCTGTGTGACTTAGGATGACTTCAATGATCTCTCTGTGTTTAAAGTTCAATTGTGAAAGGAGAGTAATCCTTGTACAGTTGGCAGCATTCTTCCTAAGGATCAAATGAAAACATGGAAAGCAAGATCTTCAACACCGACGGGCACTAAGCAAGTGTCCCACGGATGTTAGCTCACTGCATGACCTTGTGTACCCCCATACCGTGCTGGCTTTCTGGATGCATCAAGTGGGAGTAGGACTCTCCCTGTGGGACACTGGGTGCTTCCTTTATGATCCAGAGCCATCCAGAGCCATTGTAACAGCTTCAGATCTAGCCCTTGGGCCATTTGAGTGCCCAGGGCCTGGGTGGGTTGAGCTGGTTGAGTTGCACGGGTTGCCCAAGTTGGTGGCAGAGCCGCCCACACCCATGGGCCAATGCTGTGGTCCCCGCTGCAGCTGAAAGAGTGGGTGCAGAAGCTCATGATGACTCTCCGACACCCATCGCTGCCGCTGCTGGAGCTGCAGGAGATCATGACCAGCGTGGCAGGCCGCATCCCGGTCCCTGTGGAGAAGGCGGTCCGCAGGGTGATGGCCCAGTATGCCAGCAACATCACCTCAGTCCTGTGCCAGTTCCCCAGCCAGCAGGTACGTACCTAGCCCACTCCTGCCATGTGCTGTGTCTCCGGATCCAACCCCAATCAATTTGAGCTTCAGAGACCTTCTCACAGTCCGGACTGTAGGGGACCATGTTTTTATTTTTCATTCCTGCTCGGTAGTATCCCAGCCTTTCCTCCCCAGCAGCAGCTGTTTGGATGCGCATCCACAATCTCCAGGCCCTGCTTCATTAAGCTCAGATTCAGATTCAGAGTCGAAGTCAGCCACTGGTGCACACAGAGCAAGAGCTTTCCAAAAACTAGCCTGGCTGAAATCATTAGGGGCATCGGTTTTTGTTACTGAGTCCCAGTGTTGATTGTCTCTCTGGATTTTGTACATAGTCTTGGATCCCCATGCATGCCTAATAATACTTAAAAATGGCAACCAAGCCAGGTGTGGTGTTGCACACATGTAAACCTAGCACCATGGGAGGCCGAGGCAGGAGTTAGCAAGATCCTATTCAACATAAACAATAAAATAGTTGGGGTGTAGCTCAGTGTGAAGGCTCTGGGTTCAATCCCCAGTACTGCAAGAAGCAAAAAAACAAAACATCTTTCTTGGCAATGGGAGTATACCGGTGACATCAACCTAATTGCTCCCTACCCAGTACCCACTTTTTGTCTGGAACTGGAAATTTCCTTTTCTTTCTGCATTATATTCCTGTCTGCAGGGAGATATAATATGAACACGTGGAGCTCTGTGTGGCTGTCATTCTTTTTTTATTAGTACTTGTCTGTACTTAGGGTTAGCATTCCTTGCGTGGAGTTGGTACCTGTACATAACTCATGTTAATTCCATTTTTCTCCCTCTTTCCCTCCCTTCCCTCCCCTCTCTCTCTCTCTCTTTTTTTTTTTTTTTTTTTTTTTGGTACCGGGGATTGAACTTGGGTCCTTGCGCTTGCAAGGCAGGCCACCGAACTGCTGAGCTAAATCCCTGGCCCCCTCCTCCATCTCTTGATCCCCTTCCCATTTGAGTAAGATCTACCTCCCTACTTCATATTATCTTTTATTTTGCTCTTTATTTATAATTGAGTTTTTCGTGTATGAGAAACTATGTGATATTTAAGCTTGTGTGTCTGATTTATCTCACTTAACATTATGGTCTCAAGGTCTGTCCATTTTCCTACAAATGATTTGAGTTTATCTTTCTTTATGGCAGGGTAGTATGCCATTTTGTGTAAATACCACATTTTCTTTATCCATTCATCTGTTGTTGAACGTATAGGCTGTGTCCAAGATTTAGCTGCTATGAATTGTGCTGCTGTAAACATGGGTGTGCATGTATCACTCTAAGGTGATATCTCTTAACTCTTCAACAAGATACCTAGAAAAGGAATAGCTAGGTAAAATGGAATTTCTAGTTTTCGTTTTTGTGGAGTCTCCACACTGATTTCCAGTACTAGTTTATATTCTCACTGACAATGTGGAAGGTCCCTTCCCCCACTGTCCACAGCCTTGCCAGTGTTTGTTATTTGATTTCTTTCTTCCTTCCTTTGGTACTGGGGATGGAACTCACGACCTTGCACTTGCGAGGGAGGCATAATGCCACTGAGCTACATCCCCAGCTTGATTTCTTTTTTATAGCCATTCTTTCTGGAATCTTAGTGGTGTTTTCATTTGCATTGCTCTAGTAGCCAGTGATGCTGAGCATTTCTTCATGTATTTATTGGCCATTTGTACTCCTGTGAAGTGTCTATTCATTATCACTTGCTCATTTTTTTGATTGGGTCTTTTATTTTGGGGTCTTTTATTTATTTGTTTGTTTGTTGTTTTTATTTTTACTTCTTTATATATTCCAGATATTAGTTCTCTGTCTGAGGAATAGCTAGCAAATTTTTTTTCCCATTCTATAGAATGGGAACAACCTATAGGTTGTTTTTTCACCCTACTGGATATTTATTTTGCTGTGCAGAAGCTTTTTAATTTGTTGTGATTCCATTTGTTGATTCTTGCTTCTATTTCCTATGCAATTAGGGTTCGGTTCAGAAAGTCCTTGCCTATTCCTATGACTTCAAGAGTTTTACCTATTTTACATTCCAGCACCTTCAGTCTTTTTGTTTCACCATTTAGTTCTCTGGGTCATTTTTATTTTAGTTTAATACATGTGAGATATATGGGTCTAGATTCAATCTTTTGCATGTGCATAGCCAGTTTTTTTTTGTTGTTGTTGTTGTTGTTGTTTTTTGGTATTTTGAGACAGGGTCTCACTATGTAGTTGAGACTGACCTGGAACTCACTGTATAGCCCAGGCTGGTCTCGAACTCACAGCAATCCTCCTGCCTCAGCCTCCCGAGTGCTGGGATTATAGGCCAGCACCACCACGCCCGGCTGCATAGCCAGTTTTCTCAACACCATTTATTAAAGATGCTATCTTTCCTCCAGTATGTTTTTGTCCCCCTTTGTCAAAGACCAAATAGTTGAATGTGCGTGGGGTTATTTTGAATCTTCTGTTCTGTTCCACTGATCTACATGTGTGTTTTTGTGCCAGTACCATGCTGTTTTATCACAGTAGCTTTGTAATATAACCACAAGTCTAGGACAGTGATGCCTCCCACTTTGCCCATGTTACCCAGAGCTGCTTTTGCCATTCTGGCTCTCTTCTGGTTCCATATGAATTTTAGGATTGTTTTCTCCATTTCTGTGAAGAATTCTGTTGGTATTTTGATTGAGATTGCGTTAAATCTGTGTATCTGTTTCAGAAGTATGGCCTCTTGGACTATATTGGTTCTGAATATCCAGAAACACAGGATATTTTTCCATTTTCCAATGTCCTCTTTGATTTCCTTTTTCAGAGTGCTGTAGTTTTCATTGTAGAGGTCTTTCGCCTGCTTAGTTAGGCTAATTCCTTTGTATTTAAATGTTCTGGTTACTATTGTGAATGGTATTTTTCCTAATTTCTTTCTCAATGAGTTCATCATTACAGTACAGGAACACTGTTGATTGTTGGGTGTTGATTTTGTATCTTGTTATACTGCTGAATTTGGTTATTAATTCTTAGATTCTTTTGGTGGACTTTTTTTGGGTCTTCTATGTAGACAATCACGTTATCTGCAAATAATGATAATGTAGCTTCTTCCTTTCCTACACATATCCCTTTTATTTCTTTTTCTTGCCTGATTGGTCTTGCTAACATTTTGAGTGCTATGTTGAACAGGAGTAGTGATAGTGGACATCCTTGTCTTGTTCCTGATTGTGACTGTCACTCTGAGCTCTTGAGATCTTCCGACGGTACACTGAGGGAATAAACAGGGTGCTTTTAATATGGCCAGGTGGCTGTCGGGTTGGAACTTTTGATCTGTGAATCCTGGATGGGGCTCTCCTGGGAGCCTGTCGGGGGTCCCAGAGTGACTACCATGTGGAAGCTGGATTATGTGGCTGTCAGTGGTCAGACCTGTCTTGTTCTCCCATCCAGATAGCCACCATCCTGGACTGCCATGCGGCCACTCTCCAGCGGAAGGCCGACCGTGAGGTCTTCTTCATGAATACTCAGAGCATTGTGCAGTTGATCCAGAGGTGAGTGTTGGGGTTCCAAGTACACTTGTCACACTGAATCACCACACATGCTGAGAACTGCCCTGGGATGCTCTCCAGCAAAGCTCACACTGATCAAAGTACATTATGGTCTTAGCATTACCATTATGAAAAGTGGGGCCCTGGACTGGACTTCTGTGAGTCTCAGTCTGTTAGAATGGGAATTTAAAATACTTCACAAACTGGGTATGTTGGCACATGCTTGTAATCCCAACTACTCTGGAGGCTGAGGCAGGACAATCATATGTTCAAGGCCAGACTCAAGATACCTAATGAGATCTTGTTGAGAAAAAAAAAAAGCAAAACACCAATCCAGGTATGGTGGCACACACCTGTTCTCTTGGCCTGTTGGAGGCTGATGCACCAGGATTGCACATTTGAGGCCAGCCTGAGCAATACCCTCTCTCTCAAAATAAATAAATAAATAAGAGCTGGGTATTAGCTCATTGTGAAGGCCCTGGGTTCAATCCTCAGCACCACAAACAAACAAACAAAACAAAACTGTAGACTTCACAAGGTAAGCCATAGATTGGTTAAGTTTTGTAAAGTGATGCTTTGCCAACACTCAGCAAGTGGTGGCTTGGATTAGGAGACAGTGGGCTGAGTGGTTTTATGTTTGACAAAGAGCTGTGTAGTTGTGCTTTTGGGGTCACGGCAAAAGAAAGTCGATGAATAATTTGTAATTTATCCTGTGAGCTTTTAGAGCAAGGGGAAGTCCACTACAGAGCTATTCTGATGATACGAAGTATTTTTGCCATTTTTGTTGAAGAATTCATCTAGCAAGAAAGTTTGGATTATAGATGAGATTGCGGCATTCTCTGCTTTGGATCAGTCACGGCTGTGTATATTACCATGTGCTGGAAGCTGGGAGGGGTAGAGAGAAGAGGGGACTATGGAAGGCCACCCTCTTCTCAAGCTGTGCCTTGACTTACGGAGAATCAGATCGGATGCTGTCAAGGAAGGAGGAGTTAGTGTGCATTCCCACAAGCGACAGTCTTGCAGCCAGGGGCTCGCGGGAGAGTCCCTGCCCCAAAACATCAACTGCTGACCTTAAACCCACCCTGCAAGCTTCACAGAAACACCGGGAAGGAAAGAACATGTGGTATCAGTCAAAGTCATTGGCAAACTCTTCTGTATTGAACATAAATATTGAAGCTTTGCCCTGTGTTGCATGGTTTTTAAAATCATATGAGGGCAAATGATGCTTGAGGTTTTTGCCGTCTTTTGTTGTCGCTGATGATCTAGTGATGTGATGGTTAGCCTGGTTTCTGCTTTGCCAAAACTCTGAATTGCACCTCCTTAGAAACCCAATTGCCTGGGCTCAGAAATAGCTTAGAAGAAGAAATGTTGTGGGGAACATCCAGGTTAGAGCTTCGTTTCCAGGGGAAAGTGGAAGTTACACAGGAACCTTTTGGTAAATATCTTCAAGTCTGTCTTTTGAAAACATCTTAATACTTTCCATAGGTAATTGCTGCTTTGTTTTTATGGTTAAAACCTGCTAAAATTGGCTTCCCTCTTTTAGCATCCCACCTCTTACAGTTTTGCCATCCCTCTGGGGCCAAGCAGATACCATGGGGAGGCTGTGTTCTAGGTATGGGCTCAGCTTGGAGTCCAGCTTGATGGAGAAAGTCATGGCCGCCTATGGCTTGCAGAGAAGGAGCTGCCTCCATGTCCTCAGGCTTAAGGGCTAGAGGACCCAGCCTCCAGACCCTCTAACTGCTTCCTTCTTTTTTTTTTTGTGGTGAATGGAATCAAATATTTACCTCCCCCCACTTTTATTTATTTATTTATTTTTGGTACCAGGTATCGAACCTTGCAAGGCAGGCAGCAGCACCACTGAGCTAAATCCCTGGCCCTCCCCCTTTTTAAAATCATAAAATAATAGAAACACTCAGGACTGGTACCTACTGCTTATATTCTCATCACTCCAGGAGGCTGAGACAGGAGGACTGCAAGATCAAGCTCAACCTGGGCAATCAGTGCCTTGGCAAAACCCTGTCTCAAAGTAAAAAATAGAAATGGACTGCAGATGTGGCTCCATACAGAGATCCTACATTCAATCCCCCGTAGTGCTAAATAATAACAATGATAATAAAGACTAAAATTTAAAAAAATAAAAGACTAATGAGCTGCTTGGATGCTCAGTATCCACAGCACGTGCACTAAGCTAGCTGCTTTCCCTCCTCCCCAGGTACCGCAGCGGGACCCGTGGCTATATGAAAGCCGTGGTGCTGGATCTTCTGCGAAGATATTTGCAAGTCGAGCACCATTTCCAACAAGGCAAGATACGCAGCCCGCCCGGGGCCTCCCCTGACAGCGGCGCTAGTGAGAAGAAGCCCAGGGCGCGGGATGCTTGCGGACAAGCCCAGGCTCAGCTGTGTGGTCTTTGTCTCCCCTGCAGCGCACTTTGACAAGTGCGTGGTAAAGCTCCGGGAGCAGTTCAAGCCCGACATGCCCCGCGTGCTGAACTGCATCTTCTCGCATGCGCAGGTGGCCAAGAAGAACCAGCTCGTGATCATGCTGATCGTAAGCAGGAAGAAGGGGCCCTGCACCCCAAGTGGGGCTGCCCTGGCGGGGTGGGGGGTGTCCAAACACCCAGCAAGTAAGTGTTCTAGATTTCACAGGTCACGTGCTCTGGGTCGGTGTCCGCGCTCTGAGTGCCGTGTGAGTGTGAGTGGGCTGTGCTGTGCTGCAGGAAAACACTGGGACTGCAGGCCGTGGGGGCGGGGGGTTAGCTGAGCCCCGGGACAGTCGTGCTTGTACTCACAAAGCACCTGCTCTGTGCCAGGACTCTGGGAGTGCTTTACAAAGAAGTGTTAACTCCTTTCCTTCTCTCAGTAACCCTAATAGATGGGTACTGTCCTCGCTTTCCTTTGTCAGAGCACAGAAAGATGAAGCCACTTGGCCACGGTCACACAGCTTGTAGGTTCAGGGTCAAGACTGGAACCCACAGCCTGGCTCCAGAGTCATGGGCTGTTACTCAGGGGCTATTGTGTTCTGAGCCTTGCGGTACGTCTTTTATTTTGCCTTCGTTGAAAAGAGAGATATTTCTGCGTTCTTTTTTTTTCCCCCCTGTAAGATAGCAGTTAGCAGTCTTTCATAGTTAAAGATTTTTCCCCCTTAATAATGGTCCCGAAGACTTCTATGGAAAATGTAGGATCTGCAGAAGAGACTTGCACTTGGCTTATAATGGGGGGGCTGGCAAGTTTTTTTCCCATAAAGGGCCCCAGATGGTAAATATTCAGCATTTTGGTCATAGAGGCTCTATTACAACTGCTCATGTGTCACCTGAGCGCAGCCACAGGCACTGTGTAAATGCGTGGAAGTGACTGTGTTCCTATAAAACTGCATATACAGAGTCCACCAAAAAAAAAAAATGTATACTTCAGGAAAAACTTGTATCGATATTTTAGTACTAAATTTACTGAGACATCATGAGATTAATACAAGTTACCTTCAACCTCTCCATTACAAGAGGTGCTCAAGGTGGTGGCCATGAGCTTCCAGACATTTATTAGTACAGCAAACTACTGAAGTGTGTATTCAGTTTTTTGGCATATTTTGTGTAAAATCACTCAGTGGGCTGGATTTGGGCTATGGCTTGTACGATAGCTAATGTGCTAATAAGCTATGTATGCAAATACTGGTATTTTTTGTAAAGAATCATTTAATAGTCTCTTTATACAAGAGATGTTAGTCCTGGCTGCACATGCCAGTCTTGGCAGGGATGGGGATATGGTTTGAAAAAAAATACAGATGCCAAAAGCCTAAACCACCTTTGTTCATTTAAATCAGATTCTTTTGAAAGTTTCCCCAATGAAAAACTTATACATAGACTGTTTACTGTATAATATTATTGGTCTCATGTCAGTTTCTTTGGTGTTTTACAGATAGGTTCCACAGATAGGTAGGAGAACCTTTATTCTCAAGGAGATATGTGCTGAAATAGTGTAGAGAATCATGGTGTCTGCAACTGGCTTAAAAAAAAGGAAGTATATGTGTGTGTGTGTGTGTGTGTGTGTGTGTGTGAGAGAGAGAGAGAGAGAGAGAATATGCATGTATACTTACTACATCTAAACCAAATGTGCTATTGTGGTAAAAGTTTACCAATTAGTGATTCAAGGTGACAAGTATGAGGATTTTCAACATACTGACCTTTGATACTTATGCAGATTGGAATTTTTTCGAAATTAACTTGGAGAATGGGCTCCCCAAGGGCAGTGTGCAGCCCAGACTGAGCACATATATCCAAGAAGCCAGTTTCTCTTTCAGGAAATTCTGTTGCTAAAATAATAGAACCTTTTTCAAAATCTCTCCTTTGGGTGGAGTGTTTTTCAGTTCGTCTGTAAATCAAGGTACACCTATAATCTATTACAGTGAGCTCGATTTTCAAAGAAAATCATTATTCTGCTGTTCATTATTCCTCCTGGGTGTGACACCTAAAAATCCTGTACCACAGGCAGTCTGGGGCCACGTAGTGTAATGGCACAGCTCAAAGCTGTTCCCCTAAATCAGGGCTTCTTGGTGAAGTTGGGTTAAAATGTCCCAGGTATACTTTGGGGGTTATATGTGCAATTCATTATTTTTCTGGCTTTTTTTTCCCCTACTCATGAGAAAAGAGTGTGCACCTGATGGTATCTGGTACCTAGGAAGCTTTCAGCAAAGACTTTCCAATGGAATGATTACTGTGAAATGAAATTCTTTGGAGTCTTTCAAGTTATCACCCAAGTTAATAAGAACAGTATCTGGGCCTTTGGTAGGAAGAGCATGGTGTCTCGACCTTTAAAATGTTCACACACAGTGCTGTTGAGCCTTTGGCCTCTTAGAAACCTTCCAGGCTGGTTGTTGGCAGCCTTTGTACCCTGGTGTGCTTGAAGCCACCATTGAAGCCACAGCTACTTGGTCCTACAAGAAAAATCAGAATCTGAGAGCAAGAGAAGACTTGAAAAGCTTCCTATGACATTTCTTCAGCATTGACATGCCCGAGTGTTTATGTATGAAATATTAATGTGTTAAAAGTTGTTGACTGTGAAAGGAAAATGCAGCAGCCCATGTAGAAGTGGCTCTTGGCCCTGCCTTGCATTGAGGCTTCCTAGAGGACAGTCCTGGCTGGTATGGTAGGGAGAGGTTCAATTGGGAACTCAGATTCCCGGATCCTGGACATGTCCTCAGCAGATGTCTGGGGAGCTCCTGCTCCGAGCCAATCCCAAGCCCTTCTTGCAAGGACATAGAGCAAAAGCAGAGAACACAAGTGTATAGCCCTGGTCTCCAGCAGAGACCTCATGCAGAAGCAGCCAGGCAGGATGCACAGAGCAAAACAGCATCCCTTCCTTTTATCCTGCAAGATTCAGCTTCGGGCCCCTGTGCTGTGTGACTCAGAGCACCTCATCAGCCAGCATGCACAGGGCAAAGACAAGATCGAATTGATCTGTGTTTGAATCTGGCTCTGCTTGCACATGCTTGATTACACTGGGACAAGGTATCATGCCTCTCTGAGTTCCTGATCTGTAAAATAGACATCATGACTGTAACTCCCCAGAAAGCTGGGCGAATTTGAGGAAGTGTGTGTAAAAGATCCGGCGACTTGTCTGGCACACCATAAGCACCTGGTAATCACTGGCTATGAATAGTAGAGGTTGAGCATCCCTAATTAAAAAATCTAGGGCTGGGGATTTAGCTCAGTGGTTCTGGTGCCTGCCTTGCAAGTGCAAGGGCCTGAGTTCGATCCCCGGTGCCAAAAAAAAAAAAAAAAAAAAAAAAAAAA